GCACAATGAATGCATGTTTTACAAAACACAACCTGATACTTGTTCTCAGCAGTACCTCAGTTGTCCAGAGTGGTTAGCTCTACTGGGATAATTTCCAGAACCATTAACACCCAGCACCATCTTTACTGGACACCACCCTCCTTGGTGGCTCTGTAACTGTGTGATAGGAGATATTAAATATTTCAATTTGCCATGGTCCCAGAGAAACACTAAGTTTATTGAGTCCTGGTGCCTCTCTGTGACTTAATCATCATCTCATTTGGGGCCATGTCTGAAAAATCTCAGCAGTACTTACATTTTTTCAAGACCACGTGAAATGTAGCGACTGCTACTAGTGGTAAAGACAGTGACCAATCTCCATTTTTTAAGAGTTAAGTTGGTAGTCCAATAAACAACGCAAATGCTTGCTGAAAGGCCAGGTTGGGTTGGCAGTTTAGAGAAGACCAACTGTTTCCGCATCCAAACAGGCTTTAGAAGGGCGCTGTGCTTTGATGAAATAGACCTTGAAGGAATAACTCACCATAAATTCTGTGTTTGAAACATGTCCGTCCACAGGTATACACATAAACCGTCCACTGCAGTTTGGAGTGCAGCAATGGTCCAAGAACACAGTGTCCAGAAAGGGGTGAAAAGCCTGTTCATGTGTATGTGTTTGCTGCAGGCCTAGCATGAATACACTGTAAAGGGGATTACAGGGACCCTGTATCCTTCACCCTCGATCTTTTGATTAATTGGTTGCCTTGACCATCCGTGCCTGTCTTTTAATTGGTTGGTTTAGTGTTCCAGATCAGTTCACTGTTTGGCATCACGAGGATAGTTTTTGTTTCTCACCTTAAGATCAACATATCCATGCTCCCTAAATAAAGTCCTTCACATGTACTTTACTGCAACTTAGGTGTGCCTGCTGTACCTCACTTCGGTGCATAACAGCTAACTGTATGCAGAGAAAAATTGGAAACACTCATGTTACTATGATGTGACACTAAACCCCTTTAGAGAAACTGCTGGGGGTTCAGCAAGGCAGATGTTTGCTTACGTAAGGGTTGAACCAGACTGCTCCAGCTGTCTGTATTTCCAATTTGATTGACTATCACAAATAAAAGGGCTGCTTACAAATAGCGTTGAAGAATGACATGAGATGAGACCATTTTTAAACTCTTGGACTTCAACCCTCCCAAAAACTTTTGAGAAATAAAAACTACATAGTTTCTGCTCAAACAAGGATTCTCTGAGTTCCCAAAAAACATTAACATTAAGGAGATACAAGTCTCGTTGTAAATGAAAACGTCCAGTGTCGCATTTTAAAGATTCACACTACACATCTATCCACTACCCTGACTTCCAGACATGTTATGTCCACCTGCCAGCAAATCAAATGAGAAATCATTTGAGATGTTGAATTGTTCCTAGAGACTTCTAGGGAAACTGGGCCACATTTAGCAGAGGAACTGATCAGAACTTGTTTTTGTTCTTTCAAACTTCTATAAACCTGCCTCATGTACTCAAACTACAAAAACATCTTGTGTGCCTTGTCTTGTTGTCCCTTTTACAAAAAAAGTTATTTTTAAAGGCTGATCTATTTCACACCCTATTGATGACAGATCTGCAAAGATGCAAGCTGTGTGTGCACTGCATCCTGATCAACTGAGGTTACTGCTGATTGGGAAATAAGTATCTCAAAGATCGGGCAAAAGCTAGATTAGCTATACTGAAATCTTACCGTACCCCATACATAACACATGGCAGATGCACAAAACTTCTGCACAACAACTGACCAATTAATTTAAGACCAGAACCAACCAACTGAAAAAAAAACCTGCCAAGTACTGAACTGGTGACTTCAAAGAAAAATATTCCTTCAGATACACTGTTGGATAACAATTTATGATGCTCAGTGCATTCCAGTCGGTAATCTGTGAACATTTTCTGTAGTTGTCTAGGTCCAGGTTGGATGGTGGATTTTACTTTGCTGCTTACCCGCCTTTTCTTTTGTCACATCTTCTTCACTGTTATATGCCATGCCTTACTGTGTCTCTTATGTTTCACATCCAGACTGAAACTGTGAACAGGAATGAAGCTTTGCTCAGGGCTTAAAGTGAAAGAGATGTGCCGTTGTTAACGGGAGGAGTTCAAATTAACAATGGGAATGTGATTCCCTGGAGGGCAAAACACACAAGTCTGTCTACACTTGGCCTACATACTGGCCGTTACAGACTTCCCCACACCAGGCTTTTCTCCTGCGCCGGTGCTGCAGGATCTTACTATCAGCTCCCCCTGGGGTTCCAGAAACAGTGCCGCAGCGGTGCAGCAGCCATGTGATAACTGGGACTTCCGTCTATGAAGGCTACAGCACATATGCACAGAGAGAGGTCTGAACCTAACGGGGCTGTAAAGTTGCAATGAAAACCCTCCATCATCGTGCTGCACACACCCCTCGCTCACGGGCCTGAAAGGAAGTCGAAGCCAGGGAAATGAGGTGTAAAACCACGTAAGAGCAGACACGCATCCAACGCGCACCTCATACCATCTCTAAAAGCAGAGAGGTCCTCTCTTCATAGAGGGTTAATGGGAAGAGATTGCAGGCTACATGAAAGGGGGAGTAACCTTATAAAGAGGGGTCAGAGCAGAGGCATGGGGACGTGTGCAAGCTGTGACAATGTCTTAGAAAGAAAGAGAAAGAAGACATGCAAGGTGAGAAAGAGGCGCAGATAAATAGATTGAGATAGAACAGCTCTTGAGAAAGCAAATATCGAAAAAGGTGAAGGAACGTGAAGGTCTTTTTTGCTGTGTGAAGGAAAAGCTACAAAAATATTGATTCGGACATCTCTGATGCGCACTCACAGTCCAAACACAAAGTCTAGCAAGAAAATATCTTTTAGGGGTTAAAGCGAGTGCGCTAAAACGTGGCGTAGCAGTAGCACACGTATAGGAGAGCCATGATGTCAGCGAACTGACTCAGTGATGTCAGGTCTGCTAACATTAGCCACTAAAGGCTACTGTTCGTGCCAGATTAAGTAGCAGCAAAACCTCTGAGTATATTGATTTAACCAAGGGTGCGTTTTATTTCTTATGAATAAAATTGTAATCATAAGAGGAAGAATGCGTGATTTCTTCATTCAGACTTCCCCACATACAGTAGTTTAACCATGAATACGCCATCATTCTCCATCTTTAGGCAATTCTACCAACAGTGAGTACCATTTCATGATAGGTCCGTTTCTTTTTGCCCACTACCCGTGCTGATGTTTACCCTCGGGGTGCAAATCACGATTATTTTTATTATGGATTCATCTGTCAGTTGTTTTTTTTAATTAATCAATAAGAAAAGGGAGAAAATTGCTCAACCCAATTGCCCAGAGCCCAAGGTGACATCTTAAAATGTCTTGTTTTGTTGACCAACTGTCCAAAACACAAAGCTCTTCCATTAACAACTATAATAAACAGAGAAAACCTGCACATCCTCACATTTGAGAAGCTGGAACCAGAAAAAAATTGCTTCATAAATTGCCCTAAATCAAACAAAAATTGCTGCCGTTTAGGTTTCTGTCAGTTGACTAACTGATTAATCAATGAACGCTTTCAGTTCTTGTTTATTAATGTAGCTATTACTATCCAGGCCTGCATGTACTTGCAGCATCATGCCTTCATTCTGAGAAAATCTTTGAACAAGCTCACATTGATCAAAGTGGCCTCTGTGTTGGAACAGCAGCTCTAGGATCAGAGCTCTGGCACCAGACCTGCAAGTAGTGCAGCTCTGACTGCCTTTATGAGGCATGTGAATGTCAAGATCTTTACATAGCCACAATTTGTGCAAGTGTGTTTTGTATTGTGTGTATTTTTGTTTGAGGTGTATCTAATGAGGCAGTTAAGAAGCTCTTACTCTCAACAGAGGTCTGTCAAGGGAAGAGGCCTCATAATGGAGAGGTGCTTCTCCCATTTCCCCATCAACCAGTCACACAGACGTTTGATGGTACTGTGTTTTAATGAGTGTGTAAGTGACCAACGTCAAGCTCACTGATGCTGCATACATGAATGTCAACTTGAGCGTTTGGACAAACACATGCTTAGCATATTTTATTCAAATAACACAACTTAACTTTCATAATCCATTAAAAAAAACTCTGTCTTAGTTGTAAATTCTTTTGTGAAACCTGCATATTGAAATATCGGTAGGTAGGTATTGGAGATAACATGATAGCATGTTGAGTTTATGTCTGTTCCAAAAAATGTGGAAAACTGAAATTGTTCTATTCACTTTGATCCTCATCTGCTTCCGCAATAACCTCAATTCTTCAATATCAAAAGGTGCAGAAGAAGCCTACATTTTTTCAATTCATTGCATTCAATGTGACAGAAAACATAGCCTATATAATACCATTTTAATCATTTCTTTCAGTAAAAACAGAAATGCCCAAATAAAAGCCAGCATCTCAGCTTCTCCGCTAGAAGGATTTGCTGTTCTTCCTGTGTTAAATCATTGTAAACTGAGTTTCTTTGGGTCTCGGCCTGTTGGTCGAACAAAAGACGTTATCTGAAGACGTCACCTTGGACACTGGGCTGGACATCTTTCGCTGTGTTCTGTTATTTAATTGACAAGATGATTCAAGCCAAAGGAAATAATTGTTGTTATATGATATATAATTGTTAGTTGCAGCCCTTGAAACAGAATATTCCAACAACAGGCCTTAAAAAAAAAAACAGACTGGCTCTTGTCAGACATTAAATCAAAGCCATTGCTGTCACCTCTTTCATATAGAGCGGACAAGGGCAGGGAGGACAATATGTTTCAGAGGACAGTATCTATAGAAAATACACTAGGCCTACATCAGTGGAGCTACTGATCAATGGGTGTCTTATGTAAAGTCAGGAAATGGCTTTCACTTTCATCTAGTGAGTTCATGGTGACCTTCTTGGACTTCTCATCCTTTGTGGTAGGCCTGTCACTGTAATATATGTTTCTGACATTGACCCGTGGCTGCTACCTTAAAGCAGTGTCTCACCTTTGAGCAGGGGCAGCGGGGTGAGCTCCACCTGGGAGCTCTGATAGCGGAACTGGGACGAGCTGTGGGACCTCCTCTGCCGGGCTCTGCGCATCGACCTCCGCGGGAAGCCGTCCACCTTCTCCGCGGACGGTACCGAGAAGCTGGTGGTCGGCGAGGACGGGCTGGTCGGAGGCAGCTTGGTCGTCTCCATGGTGGCTGTAGATGTAGATGGCGGTGGTGCGTGCGTGCCTTTGCGTGTGTGAGTGCGTAAAGGTTGCGTTTAAGAGGATGTATGGGTGAATGGAGGAGAGGATGGAGGAGTGGGTGGCTTTCTGAATCACAAATTATCAATTGATCAGTATGAATAGACGCTCAGGAGGGGGGGAGGAGGAGGAGAGGGGGGAGAGATAAAGGGGGGAGAAGGAGCAGAGGCGGAGGAAAGGTGAGGAGAGATATTTTCTGGATGCCCAGTCCCGTGCTGTACGCCTCGCAGTCTCTATCAGAGCCGGACTGGAAAAGGCAACAGCAGCATCCCTGAATCTTCTGTTTTTCAGGCACAGATCAAAAATCACTTGTGTATCATCCCCGTGGAGAAGTAGCCTGTGCAGCTACCAGATGATGCTCAGACAGGCGCGTCTCCTCACACACACACACGCGCGCGCGCGCACACACGCACGCCTCTCTGCTGCTGTATTGGCGTCACACACACACACACACACACTAAGTCATCGGGCTGTATGTGGATATTTATTTCTATAACTGATCTCACACAGCTCCTTATGTAAAGAAACCACTGCACTCAAGCACCGACGAATCTCCTCCTGCTTATCCAGACCAAAACAAACAAACCAACGGACCCCAGGTCAGTTTAGCCTATAGGCTAGTTTATACTCCTCGATGATGCTCCTTATCAATAAAATCAGTGATCGGTCCTGACGGTGGATGATGATATGATCATAAAACCATCAATCTGGGCCCACTTCGGCTGCCGCATCACTGTTGTCCTTCTCGCTCGTTTTTAACGGATCCTCTTCATACCGTACTGAAACGGCCGCACCTGCTTATTTTGATTTTTTTTGTTTTTGGTCAGAGGTGGAGAGTTGTTCTCGTCGCGGTTTATACCCCCCTTCACACAACCTCTTCCTCCTGCCGTCCTCCAGCCGTATCAGGGCGGGGAAACAAACGGTCCCTCACCGCGCCGACATGTGCAGGTCCTCCGCCAGCGGCCGCTGGCTGTCTCTACCTCCGCGGTGAGAGAAGGAGAAAAAAGAAAAACAAAAGAAAGGTTGCGCTCCACCTGGTAACAGCAGCCTCAAGTGAAAAAAACTGAAGGCCCGTGTTATACAATAGCACCCCGTCTATGTCTGTCAGACTGACGCGTTTTGCCTCTGTCCCCCTTCTCGGTTCCCGTTATCCGGTCGTCCTACAGCGCGTCAGCGAGCTGCGTCAAGAAGCACGGACTGAGTTAGGAATATGCCGGAAATGAGGCACCCCTGCTGTCAAAATAAAACAAGAGCTGGAGAAAACAAAACTTGATGGTTTACAGAAATTCATGGCAATACAATTAACCAGTTGCTGCACAGTGAGCCATGGAGATTTTTGAGGGTCACTATGGCGGTTGCACGCAGTGCTCATTTGGTAAAGCATCACTGAATTGACTTAATTAAAAGGACATAAATACAATTGACAAAGATGTCAAACATTTGCCTATAGCCTAAGCCTGAATCCGTTAACACACATTCATGCTATTTGTGCAAATCCAACTCGTTTGGAGACGTTATTTCCACCAACAGAGACAGAGCATAAAGAGATTAAAAACAGCTAAAAGTAGGCGAGCAACAATAAGTCAGCACTCTGTCCAGGGAAATTTGGATTTTCTCTCTCATTCCTCTGGCCTCTTTAGCCATAAACAAAGTGTCCCCAGATAGGTTGGTAAACTTGGGCCTGCAGTGTGAGGCTTCCTGACATAACAAGATTTCTTATGAACTGAATGAAATGACACTGAAGTGAGGCACTGGCATGCAGGTACACATCATAGAAAGAAGGTGGAAATAGGCCAACTTGAAGCTATAGGCTATCAAAACGCTGATCTAGAATTTAAGCTGATAAGATTGCCAAGTCTCTGTGATCTGTCCTTTTATAACATTATTTCTTGTAATGTGGGGCTACCTCACTCTCAGCGTGTGCAAAACTATTTCTGTGGACTGAAAACAGCCTGTTTAATTTCATACCGTAACTCCTACCACACAACCGCAAAGCAGATTCTGGATCTGAGGCCCTTTGATACGTTTTCCATATATTGAATATGCATTAATTTGCACTTGAATTAGGCTACAAAATCACAGTTACTACAAAATGAAAAGTGAATGACATGTATAGCCCAGAGAGGTTTAGTCAGTCCCACACTTGGCCATAGCTACTTGGGCTATTTGTTTTCGTAAAAAATATCACACGGTAGGTGCATTAATAAAGGTTTTATTTTGAAAGCTGGGACCGGATGCTCCTTTATGTCACTCTGCCCGGCTTGTCGCTGGTTCCTCAGCCTAAGGTGGTGCAGGGAGAGAGAGAGGAATGAGGCTCCTCACTGCGGATGACGCTATAGGATGGATTTATTTATTTATTTGCCTTTATTTATGTGCCACGGCTTTGCCTCTTAAACCCGGTTCATTTTAAACAGATGCGTCATTAGTGCCTCGCGCCCCTCTGCCAAACCTCTGGCCGCGGTTTCATCCTGCTATGAAATATTCGCTCCTTTTCTCCAGCAGCGCGCCGCTTTGACGCTCATCAGTGTTCCAGTCTGACTCCCCGCCTCCCCCACTCCTCCCCTCCCTGTCCCCCATTTTCCTCGCTTCCCATTTGAGGTGAGCGCGCGCGTGTACGTGTGTTGTTTGTGCGTGTCCGCGGGGTTGTAGTTGGCTTTAAGGATCAAGTTCCATACCCGTCCATTGTTCCTCTCTTCACTAAGCCACTTGTTCTCTGTCTTGCTCTCTCTCCTTCACACACACACAGAGAAGCTCGCGCACTCAAAAGCGCAATTATGCACGCGCTTTCATCTCCCTCTGAAAGTCACACCTTGGCTGGCAGTGAGTGTGTTTTGCTGGCGTGTTTGCGCTGCCAGCCTTGAACCCTCCTTCTCACCATAAACACAGTCCATGCTTATAATCTTAATTCCAGTTAAAGGGTGTGCGTTATCCCATGCGCCTGCGCCCTTTTCTCTCCTGCTATGTTCCTCCTCCCCCTCCTCCTCCTCAGTGTTGTGTCGCAGATGAGCTCAGCCGGTTGCCTTCTGAGAAAAACATCGGGGGACCAGCGGAAAACCCGCTGCTGGTCTGCTTCTCATTTTCTATCACCAGAGGTTGTGTAGCACTCTGTTATTGTTTTGTACTCTACAACAGCACGTGTCTAAATTATAATAAACATAATCTATTAACAAGACTGAAAGGTCTAAAGCAGCTCTGTGAGGGCCTCACAGTGAGGCTGTACCCGGGGCTTTGAGCAACATGCTAACATCAGCATGCTACTAACATGCTCACAGTGACGATGCTAAAGTGCTGTTTTTACACAGGTACCATTTTGTTCCCCATGTTGCATCTTAGCATGTAAACTGGTAAGAATATCTAGTTAGAGCAAAGCACAAAGTATTCTACAGCTGAATTTGATGGAAATGACATTAGCTTTGCAAACTAAACAAAAGTAGGCCTATTGGACAAATTTAAAATTTGACCTGATGAAGAACAGGAGGATCATCAAAGTCAGTAGGTTTCATCCTCTGGGGAGCTTCAATAATAATTGTTGAGATATTTCAGTCAGGACCAAAGGGGTGAACCGACCACCAACAACTGGCCAAAAATTGTCAATAAGCAACAAGGTGCAATGTTGATGTCCTATTCATGACAGTGTTCAATCTGTTAAACTGAGATGATATCAACAGCTGAATGATGAAACTTGTGTTCACATAACATTTATGTTAAAATGCTCAAATGTAGTGTAACAGTAATAATGTCTTTTAATAACAAATAAACGTGTTTTAGTAAAATGTTTTTATTTTTTAAGACCTTCTCTGTATCACAACATAAATATATTAATCTAATTTATGATAAATACAAAATACAAAAGCCACAACTAGGCCATATCTACAGATATATTGTTTGTAAAGCAGAATAATCTATGTAAATCATCCTTTGAAAAACCAAAATCGTCACTCTTAATTTCCTTTACTGCAGTAGCTCCCATAGAACAGGTTTGAGCAGCCACATGGTTCTCGTGTTGTCAGATGCATGACAAGGAAGTCAAATGGGAAAATCACGTTATTTCTCTCATTTGATTCACGTGAAATAAGCACAAAAAAGTGAATTTTTAATTATACAACCATTGTCTAGAGCCACAGCGGTGAGGGGTGTCAATGGGCCCCTTGATCTGTTTCTGACTCGATGAGCCTGTCACCATTATCATCCTTCAAAAAGCTCATCCTGCTGTTCACTGCTTTTCCCACACACTGGTGAAACTCAAGTTTTTACATTATTACAAGCCAATTCAAAAATATGTGATGTCATGCATACATTTGTCTGGAGGGTCTTGAGCTCACAAATAAATTGCTCATGGCAGGATTTTACCACTAGATGGCCCAAGACAGATAAATATTACAGATACCCCCACTATTTATTAGTTGCAATCATATCAATTACCTCAATCCAACACACATTTAATATGGGGACACTGGGGCCCCTAAGGGTTGGGGCCCTGGGCACTTTGTCTGGTTAATAATCCACCCCTGCAAGCAAAGTCTGGTAAAAGGCAGAAATTAATTAATTAACGAATGAACAAAACAGAAGAAATAATTAAAAAGAAAATAGATAAATCTTCAATCATAAGAAATGTATAAAAATAAATTGTAGCTTTTAAAAATCAAAAAGAAATCTCAGCAAATTGACTGACTTTTTTTCTTGGATTCAAATATTGCAATACATAAATAAATTTCATATCAGTAAATAAATCAGTAGCAGCAAAATATGTGTGTTCGATAATGTGCTTTAAACAAGGTAAAAAGAAAAGAAACCATAAAGAATAAAGTTTCATCGAGTTAAATCAAAATGCCTGTAATGTAATATGATGTAATATGCAGCTAATCCGGGGCTGTGCGGTTAACTTTGGCAATTCATATGTTCACACTGCAGCTGCAGGCACAGATGGAAATTTCTCCTAATGAAATTTCCCTGAAGTTGCAAGGAAGTGAGAACTCCACCCTATCTAAAATTACCACTTTGAATGTTGAGTTTTTCAGTGTCTCGTCTGTGGATTTAGGAAAAGATAATGCCTAACTGTGATTTATTCAAAAATAAAAAAAACTGTACACTTTTATTTAATTGTTAATTCATATTTCACCTACAAGGGCTTAGAAACCATGGACCCACGTGTGGCTAATTTAGTGCACAGCGTTTTGAGCTGTTATGCAGCAAAGTTAGAGATTCAAGCAGCTATAGGAGTAAAGAAAAAACGGACTCCAGTCTCTGAAACCTCCGCTAGGAAAGTTGAATGTGAGCAACAGGCCAGACATTTGCTTGCCGCTTTGGTTCACTCTCTGATGTCAATGTTTCCATTCAGATGCCAGATGTCTGGGTTTACTCATAAAGTCTTGCATTTTACTATTGTACTCGGCCTGCATATTTTCCCTTCTAATAAGCTGGGCTGTAGTTCTTTCAGAAGAAGACTGAGATTTCAATCATCAGATGTCTCTGTGCTGTGATTTGGTACCTCAATTGAATGGCCATTGTCCAAGCTGGTTTATAATAATCCAGTTTGATTAAACTGTTACAGAAAGATATCAATTAAATGTCGATTTTGGCACATGGAAACTGCTCTTACTTGCCTACGTGCCACTGGTTACTAGTCCCACTTACTGTAGTATCCAATCATTGATCTCCAGGAGCTCAGAGAGGGAGAGATCCCTTGGGGGATCCTCCAGTGGGGGCAGAGAGGGTAGAGGTTGAGAGAGAGGCCCGTCAAAGCTGCTGGAGCTAGCCTGAGACATACTAAGGGGACTCGGGACGGTGAGCAGGGACAGCAGAGACGCTGGTGAGACGTGTGGACTGTAACTTGTATTTAAGGCAAAAGCAGAGGCAGGAGACAGTTCTGGGTTTGGTTGAGGGGACGCTAAGAAGGACTGAAGAGCAGGATCTTGAAAAGTCGGCGGTAAAAGAGAACATGGCTGACTTGAACTGATTGGATTGCCGCTAAACTGACTTGGATGAAGCTGGGACACATTCGTGGAACAGGCTTGCACTACTAGACCCACGTCCTGTGAATGAGAGTAAGGGGGCACTACATTCGAAGGAGCAGTTGGAAAAGAGGCTTGTTTCATTAGAAAGGCATCCAGGGCGCCAGGATGAAGTGTAGAAAAACCCACATTTGCTGTCACTGAAGGACTGTTGTGGACGGTGCCCCGCCCAGACTGAGGCTGAGCAGCTGTGGTGAGCGAGCTGGAGGGTACAGGGCTTGAAACAAGGCTGGTGCAGAAATGCATAGGATTTGTCAGCCTTGATGTTATTAGAGAAGGAGCATCTTCGCTAAACAAAGAGTGAGGGGCCGGGACTGTGGAGAAAGAGGCAGAATAGGGAACAGTTACAGAACTGGAGGAAGTGAAGAGTTCAGCTGGCGAGCTGGTGGATGAGGCTAATGTTGTAGTTGTTGGAGCAGGAGCTGAAGGTGAGAGACGAGGGCTTTCAACACAGTCAGGGGTTTGAAGCTCCAAGCTGGAGGTAAACGAGGTAGAGAGTGAAGGGCCAGCAACCAAAGTGGAGCTTGAGGCCCGGGGAGGGACTTTAGGAGGACTGGAGCAGGTCTGACAGTCAGCTGAGGGGGACACTGGGAGGACTGTTGTTAAGATGGAGCTGGATTCAGAGGCTCTGAGGCTGCAGAAAGGCTTGTGGCGCTCCAGAGTCGTAGTGTAGAGGTGGAGGTCTTTTTTCAACGAGGCAATCTCCTTTTGAAGGGCTGAGTTTGATCGCTCCAGGCTCTGGAGCTCCTAACGGTGGAGTGAAAAAAGGGAAAGCGATTTAGAGATGAGCATGAGAGGCGAAAAAGATCCAGAAATGACAAACAGTTCATGTAGAGTTGAGTAGGTTATATCTTTATTATCCTTAAGAGTGGCACTCAGCCATAAAAACTGATTAAAGACTTATATCAAAAGACAAATAATAAACACCCCACCCACATAATTTCACACCCCGCCTGACTTGTGCTGCAATAAAAACTACAGCCATCCTCGAAGAAGAACTGTAATACTGCTCGTAAGTTAGTAAGTGACAGCTCTGCAGGTTCAGCATGAAAGGAGGGGGTGGGTGGTGGGGAGGGCAAATAAGGGATTCCCTGCTGAGTAAAGCAGAGGGGTACGTTTAATTTGAAAAGGAAAGAATTAACATTTCGTTAAAAATAAACCTCTTCTTGTTAAGAGTTTCTATAATTGTTTTCTCCTGGTTTATCAACCAAAGTCTTGCTTTTATGGCCTCCATTGGGCTCCAGTGCCGGCTGAAAACAACTTACAGCCAGAATTCATCTACATTGAGCACCAATGACTGCGAGTACAGACTCAGAATAGTGTTTCCCTCCCTCTGATTACATTTCTACTAGCCTACATTGTTACTACATTCTTCCTAGGCTACATCTACACTACTACATTTTCGTGACAGGTCACAGAGTCACAGTCAAAGTGGCACTGCTGTGCAGTTGTGCGTCACGTGCGCTGACCCTTTGAACCATGCACTGCTGACACCACCTCCGTGATTTTTGAGTCAAACTGGTTTCTGCCAGAGACGCTTCTTCAAATTGAACTTGAAGGACACACAGAGAGCAGAACAGAAAGAGAAGTCGAGAGAGAGAAAGTGAAAATGAAAGCCTGGACTCCTTCAACAAAAGACACACACCTTCACATATCCAAGAAACACACTTATCCAACCAGTTGTAACAGGTAGCATATGATTTAAGAGGAAGATAAGACAAATGAATTGGTGTGAAAGACAAATCTCTTCATCCATGAGGTTGGATGCAGCGCAGTTAACTACAGGTTATTATCTCGTCATGAGGAGAGTAACAAAACACATTTTATGGTGTGTGTACTGAGGAGTGCTCATAGCCTGTAAGAAATAAAATCATTGCTAATGTAGAACAAGTGAGGGCCACTGCTCAGTGACAGACTCTTGTTAAGCGAGCTAACGCAGTAGCACAAAGAGGCCAGCAACGACAGAGAGGCAGCAACAGCGTGTAGAGACAGAATATTTTCACATCGAACCCTGTGAATCAAGTTGGTTTTTTTCTGACCAAACGGAAGTTGGAGATTGTTGGAACAGTGGAAAGACTAACCAAGATTTTTTTGGTGTGTTTTATTTTGTTTTGTTTGAATAAAATGTGTTTTACGGTGAGTTAACAAATCAATTAAGCTAGTAGTTGGTGAAAGAGAGAAACTTGAATTCATTAATAGGTGTAAGAATACTTCCTTTTCTTGACATTTTGAGTTTATTTTGTTTATTACACACACAGCTGTGCTAGTAAATCAGCAATCGCCGTTTGTTTGATGGTGGCCAGTTGGAAATATATTGCCGAAAAATACTTTTTTGTGTACAAATCTGTGTATTCACTTCAGAGTTGGATGAGAAGATCGAAACCCCTGTCATGTGTGCACACTGAATATGAAGCTACAGCTTGGAGATGGTTAGCTTAGCTCAGTATAAATACTGAAAATGGATGTTTGTATGGATTAAACAAGAGAGATATAACTTGTTGATTAGCTTTATGTGTGCCATAGTACATGGATTTTGTTACCTAGTAGCTTCATATTTAGCGTACAGACAAGAGATTGGTATCGATCTTCTTATCTAACCCTTGGCAAGAGAGTAAATAACTATTTCTTTAATGTGATTTTTTATTTTCCTCAACCTTTTCAGAATGACCGCACATTAGCAAAATTGCAGACTGTATTTGGTTTGTTTCAAAGGCTACACTATCACAATCCTTTAACACCATATTTGTACAGTAAGTAGCCTATAATATTTCCCATGAAGCTTTCTAAAGTGTCGTGAAGTCCTTAAAAGAAGTGCATCTAATCAATAACTTGACTTAGCCCATAAACTTTGTGTGCATCTCTGTGTAACACCACCTTTGGAATTTGTACCACAGGAAAAATAAATGACAGAGAGACACAGAATGAAAACATAGGAGGGACTGTGTGTGGATGTGTGTGTGTGTGTGTGTGTGTGTGTGTGTCTGAAGGGCAGACAAGCAGAAAAGGGAGGGCCAGTGGGGAGGGAAAAGCAGAGGGAGTGAAAGCCCTTCTCCTAAAGCAGAGTATTTACAAGAAACGGCTACCAGCATGCTATGACATTACACAAGACACACACCACTAGTCAAACAGCCTGTGTTTGAAAGAGAGACAGAAAGTGACAGAGTCACAGGGCGCCGGTATAAGGAAGGAAGCAAAGGAGAGAACGAAGATAAGGAGTGAATGTTTCCTACATCATGAAGTTCGTCCGCTCTCTCTGTTTGTTTTCTGCGGCTCTTCCTCGCAGCATCTCTGTTCTTGTCTCGTCTTTTTGTCCCCCTCTTTTTCACCTGTTGTCCCTCTCCTTCCCTCTCCTGTGAAGGTGGATGCAACAGACACAGTTAACCACACTCATCCGGTGGTAGTTACACACTACGTGTGTGTATGTTTTTCAAGTCAAGTGCATACTTCTCTTGTGGCATCCCCCAATGCCGTTTAAGGAATCTTTTTTAAAAGCAGACATTTATAACTTTTTGATATTGCATTATGTTTTGATAGATTTCAAAGTTTACAAGGTCATGAGACAAACATTTCACATGAAATTACATGTGCTCTCTCAATTAAAGCAGGAAGTTGTTGTGCGTGATGTTAAACACAGGATCAAAAGTAATATAATGAACAACAAATCAAGTGTAGATGTGAAGGTGAAGTTATTTTCCTGAACCTTTCCTTACTAAACTTATGAGGCTGTAGCACAGTGATGGACTAAATAAATATATGTAAAGGTTTCTTTCTTCCATATTTTTCTTCATCAAATGGACCCAAAATCTGAAAAAAAGAAGCACTAACTATTTTGTCTATATTAAATGTTCATCCCAGATCATTTGGTAAAATATAATGAAGATTACATTAGATTAATTTGGCAGACACTTTTGTCCAACGCGATAACTCAACAGGAGACAGATCAATTTGGAAGTGCATCCCTCTCAGCTAAACAACTGTAACATAATAATTGATGATGGGTATGGGATGGGAACGATGGGTGCAGAGGCTGATCAAACTAAAAACAACGTACATCAGTCAGCGCAAATAGGAATCCAGGCTCAAGCCAAGTGACAATCATTATCAAGATAACGGCTGCCAACTATTTACCATATTTAGAAAGAAATTCCTGTGTTTTAAACTCAGAAATACAAATCACTTTTTTGTCTTTTTAGAGCACTTGGCTGATTCCATTTTAAGTATTGGGGGGGGGGGTTGCCTTTATTCAATAATGGACAGTTGAGATGTGACAGAAAACAGGGGGAAGCAGAGGAGGAATGACATCCAAAAAATGTCCCCAGCTGGAGTTGAATGGGGGAGTTTGCAATTACAGCATATGGTAGGCCTCTGAGAGATTCTGCATGTGAAATCTCTGTAACATTAGTCCTATTAAAGGGACTGAGACTGTATTTAAGGTACAGAAAATTTTGGTTGATTTGAAAGTGCTTTGAAGAAGACAGAAACAAAACAAGAAATGCACATATCAGAGTGGAACATGTAAATTCTACTTTATTGTAATAGTAGAGTTTAATTGTAGTGTATTTATAGGCTAATATTTACATTGTATTTGTGATATTTCTGCTACAAGAATTAGGCTACAATTTATTTTAGCGTTCAGTTTTCCTCCTGGTAACCAAACACTTACATCCATCAGGGGTGTTAATATAATGCGAGTACAGTCAGTTTTGTCATGCTTTATTGATCGGTTGGTTGATTGATAAGGAGAAGGAGAACTTACCGATCCAGCCGTGTTGCTGTGGCTCTCCTCAGCTGACGGTGATCCGGGGCTGTTGGGCTGGTACATCGTGTCCATGAATAACGGGGACATCTCTCCCCAACCCCGCAGCAGACTGGCTAGCCGGTTGTCCGAGTGCTCGACTGTCCACCGGCCGGATAAATATTCACCCAGCCTGTATCATCCGTGCAGCGTGCCCGCATGTGAAACAGATTCAACCATTCAATCGCTGGAGTTTGCGCTCAACCGGCGCGCCTCTTTGCACCTCGGAGTAAAACGTTGAATGAAAAAAAAATATGAGTGCAGGCTACTAAATAGGCAATGCAGTATTTCCGTGGTGCAAACTAATGTCTGATGTTTGCTTGGTGACTTATTGTGTCTGTAAATGTGTAGCACGGAGTGAGGCGCCCAGACGGCGTGTCTGATGGCTTTTGAGCATAGGGGGTTTGGCACTAGACAGCCGATGATGCAACGTGATTGCTTTCAGTTTCTCTTTATTTTAAACTGACCCATTGCGGGGTAATGGTGGGGCTATGGGGGTGGGTGCTGCATTCAAATGCAGTAGGTTAGTTTCACTTTGCAAGTTTGTAACGGTGAAACCGGTAACAAGAATAAAAATAAATAAACCCGGTGATAAAAGTAACTAGTGGTTGCTACTTTTTAAGTACAGGAGAACCAAAAAGCACCAGAATGAACAGAACAAATAAACATCTTGCATGTTTCTGATAGTTTCCCCTGCGACAGCCTACAGTGGATTTTTAGACTCATTTACAGATAGGTCTACTGTTTTTATTTGTAGCCTACACGAAGCCTATCTACTGGTGTTTTAATCTAAACTATAGCTATAGGCTACTTTTATGCATACTCTGTCATTCTGTGTAAGTAGCCTACATTTTTCCATTAGTAGGCTATCATACAGCTTCGTTGCCTTACTGCGTTTGCGTGGTCAACTACGGCGTCTACTATTTCTGATCGGACATGAACCCACCCTGGTGAATGAATGGGAAAAGATGTTTCGGGACAGGAAGAGCTCGGGGGGAAGGCTGAATGAGCAATTTAAGGTTGCGCCTCCTTCACGTGCAGGGAATTTCTCAAGTGCTTTTGCCAGGAAATGAATGGCCAAGCCCCCAAACGGCAGCCAACAGCTTTTACCGGTCCTCAGGACATGACTAACTCACTACACAGTGCTATTTTTTGACCAGGTGCATGACTTAATCCTTTCTCATCAAAGTAGCCCATACAGAAATGTTGCCCCTCATTAAATTGATTAACGTAAATTTATGAAACTATGTTTTTTTCTGTTAAATTATAGGAATATAATAGGCCTACTAACCATTTCCATAGTTTTAACACAGTGTACTGTGAGTTAATAAAAATGACAATTTATTATTGATTCCTATAAAGAAGCCCTGTGAAAAATAACTTTTTAGTAGGTTACGAATAAGGAACAATTAGAAAAGTTTTAGATGGCAGGAAGTTTTAAAAATTTCTGGAGGGGTCAATGCCCTGTCCTCTAAATGCTGTTTCAGCTCTCCGACATTCCTCAAAAGAAGAACACAATGTTGTAACCGCGTCACTGTGTAGCATGATAAGAGGTTTATCGATGAATTCACACCCAGTCTTGCTACAAACTATAATTTAAATGTGCTGAGATGAATTAGCCGCCTAAAGGTCAATTTATTACTTTTCCCCCGAGCTTTCAACCACAACTATTTGAGGTCCAGTTGCAAGTCCAGTTGTGTTAATATGTCAAACTACCATTTCCAGGGTCATAAGTGAACTTTTCACGCGCTCTTGCGTTCACGTAAAGCATGTTTTATCTTTCGCATTAACTGAATTATTGTGTTCCGCGTTTTCAATCTGTATTTTTCGTAAATACATCCGTCTTCTGTATATTTCTGGACACAAGCTTTGACAGGCAGAAGATTCCCCGATTGCTTAAATCACACCTGACTCCCAGGACAGACACACGGGGGCGCCAAACCAACAGACCTAAATCCCAACCCACACCTTAAAATGCCCACTGACCAATCAACCAGCGCCGAACGTCCGCAACAACCAATCAACGCTCGCTCGAAGACAAAGAGGCCAATCGGTGGCTGCGTGAGGCGGGATCTACGTTACAGCCGCTTCCTGGTCGCGATGCCCCAGATCAATGCTAAATATCTTTCATTCAAAACTACGAATCAGTACAAGTAGCCTTTTTATTATAACTGCAGTTGAGCGGGACACCGTCGCGATGGGTTTGCTGACGATTTTAAAGAAGATGAAGCAGAAGGAGCGGGAGATGAGACTGCTGATGTTGTATCCTGTCTGCAGCGGTTTGCTGGTTTGTTAACTTAGCTGGAAACAAAGTAGCACTCATGTAGGCCTGCCAGCCTTACTCTAATCAATAACAGAATAGCTTTTGTACCCGTGCATGGTTACATAATGTAGCATAACTGTTGCACGTGTGTGCGTGAAGTCCTGCGCATTTTGTGATGTATCATGCTATCATGCTAGCTCGCTACTACGCACTTAACGTTAACTAACTCTGGGTGAATGAGAGACAGCGAGGCTCTCATCACGAGGTTGTTGTTTAATAATTTGGTGTGTGAGAGTTTCTTCCTTAACCTGGCTCGCGCAGAGGCCTGGACAACGCGGGGAAGACCACCATCCTGAAGAAGTTTAATGGAGAAGACGTCAGCACCATCTCCCCGACACTGGGCTTCAACATCAAAACAGTGGAGCACAAAGGGTAAGGTGCACAGTCACCGCGTGACCCGAAATGAAGTGTTTATTTTTTCTTACATACATAATATACATAGTCTGTGAGAAAAAGAAAATAAAGGACAGTTGGATTCCATTTAGCTGCTTCATTTTCAGGGTCTTGGCTAATGTCCTGACAGGCAGCATGTGAGCTCTGTCCTCCTGCTGGCTGAACATTCCTCTGTTTACTGTACCGTCTGTTCCTTTTCTGAATGTTTCCTTTTCTAAGTCACTTTCACCTCTGTGGTGTAAATGTGTTTGAGAAATGATCCCTGCTGTACTAGTAAACAGCATTTGACAAAATGTGATGAGTGGCACTAAAATTTAAAGATGAACGCGTTATTAATGTAAGGCAGCGGAGGAAAAATGTACTAATGTCTGTTGTTTTTACACACTTTTATGGAACGCCCTGGCATTAATGTATTTTTCCTATCCAGGATCCATTATCAGGCAATAGTCAGTCTTACTCCACATGCTCTCCTGTCTCTGTTCTGTGTTTTCTAGGTTTAAATTAAATATTTGGGATGTGGGGGGTCAGAAGTCACTGCGCTCCTACTGGAGGAACTACTTTGAGAGCACAGACGGGCTGGTGTGGGTGGTGGACAGCGCAGACAGACTCAGACTCGAGGACTGCAGGCAGGAGCTCAGTGCACTGCTGCTGGAGGAGGTACACACACACACACACACACACACACACTGAAGTTAAAGGAAAGCACATGGTGGGTTTAGTGGTTAAATTTGCTGCCACTAGGTGTCTTTCACATCAAAAACCGTACTGCAGTGCACCTCCTCCTCATGGACTGCACCAGATTTGCCAGGTCTTGTTGTGAGATGTTATCCTACTCTTCAACCAAGGCACCTGCACGTTCCTGGACATTTCTGGGGGGAATGGCCCTAGCCCTCATCCTTCGATCCAACCAGTGCCAGACGTGCCCAATGGGATTGAGATACGGGCTCTTCACTAGCCATGCTAGAACATTGACATTCCTGTCTTGCAGGAAATCTGCACAGAACGAGCAGTGTGGCATTGTCATACTGGAGGGTCATGTCATGAGGAGCCTGCATGAAGGGGACCACATGAGGGAGGAGGATGTCTTCCCTGTAACGCACAGCATTGAGATTGCCTGTGACTACAACAAGCTCAGTCCGATGATACTGTGACACACCGCCCCAGACCACGACGGACTAAAATACAGTGTCCTGGAAAAGTGATGTTTCTTTTGGTTTTTTTTTTTTGAGTTTTCTTAAAAACAACCAAGAGATAAAAAGTGTGTTGGAAAAATGTGGCTTAACACTGGATAAAGAGTCAATTTATGGCAGACAACCACAAAACTGATGCGTGCTCAAAGGGGATATGACGCCAGTGACAGGCGACGCATCGGTACCTTGATTTAACATGATGGATTTCTCTGGGTTTGAAAATTGTTGGGAACATTTGAGATAATGTAAATACAAATCACAAGAACACACATAGCATGTCTAGTCGTTTTTAGACATTTAATGCAGAAAAGTTACATATATCTTTAATTGTGCATCTTTTTGTTTAGTGCTCCATACCAACATTTAACCCCCCCCCCACCCACATCTGTCCCCTCATTTCTGAGATTAAAGGACCTTCTTCTTCTTGCGCTGCTTTAAGATAAAAATCCATAATGATAATTACTGTATCATTATTATATCAATCTCTAATGTTTCTTTCCCTCCATGCAGAGGTTAGCTGGCGCAACGCTGCTGGTGTTCGCCAACAAACAGGACTTACCAGGAGCCCTGTCAAAAGAGGCGATACGAGAGGTGAGATTTCCACCCAAATTACTGATTAACTTTTTCAGTAATGTAAGGAATTCCAATTGTAATTTCAGTGATATCGCTATTGCCAATTTAAAAATTATTCATTACAGTTGAATTACCCAGAAACGTGCTGTGTTTTCCTGCAGGCGCTGGCCCTCGATGAGATCAAAAGTCACCACTGGTGTATCATTGGTTGCAGTGCGGTAACTGGAGAAAATTTGTTAGCTGGAGTGGACTGGCTATTAGATGATATTGCTGCAAGGATCTTCACCACTGACTAATAGACTATGTACTTGATGCTTTTTTTAAGCAGCAGCCTGTCACGCTTGGTGAGCACCAGTAGGACTCAGGCTCATTTTTGGACTACGAGGATTTAAAGTCAAACAGCTCAACAAGTTTCGTTTTTGTTCCATCACCTTCTGTTTGCTGTCTGTGTCCATGTTTACAGGAGTCACCACTAATGTTGATATGTAGGAGGGAAAGATTGTTTTGAGCAAGTGAATGCTTCACCCATAGAAACCCAAGTTAAATCTGTACACAGTATTCATGACTAACATGAACCTTCTTGCTGTTGGTGGTATGTCAGCTGATGTGCCTCATGCTCAGTGTTGAATAAATTTCAATGCCCACTGAATTAAAATTACTGTCACTTTAAATCCAGCTTTATCTACCTTTAAATAAAAGGAAGCATTGATTTGTTCAGTTTGAAGAATATAGTATTAGTCTACAAACACTGCAGATTTGAATTGAGAACTAAAGCCATTTGTTGGCCAATAACAGGGCTACTTTGTCACAGCATAACTGGTTTGACTTAAAGCAAGAAGTGTCCTGACTTTCTCGCTGAGTTGATCTGAGATGCTAGATCTCATGTGCAACAGGTTTTGTCCGCTTCAGTTTTAACTGGCTTACCCCCTCTGGTCTGAAGGCAGTTTGTAGACTCCCTGTTATGACCAGAGAAGAAGCCCCCACCTGTCTGCCTTAGAGCAGCAACCAATTGGACAACTTGAGTTGCAGTAAGTTAATTGCTTTAAGTTTTCCCAAATATGCCCAACACTTTAGTTCCAGTGTCTTTTAATTGGGCCTTTATTTACAACCTTCATTCCTGCTTGCAGCCTGGACATTCTCAGGTAATCTAGTCCATCTTCAGTAACTGAGACAATGTACACAGTATAAATATATTTTATTTAAAGTTCACACCATAGAATTTTCTAGTTCCAGAAAACAAGTTAAAATCCAGGAGTGGCCATTACAATGCATATACTACACTTATGTAGTAGAACAGCTGTCCTGTCAACTGGTTACATTTAAGATAGGGAGGATATTGCATAAGCATGTTAATGTAAAGTTTTGATGCATCTCTCCAGCGATCATGTTGGCAGCACAACAGCAGCCAAGTCTACGCCGGAGTCTGCAAAGAGAGACATCTTAAAAACGGGTGGACAGACTTTGTTAAACTGAAGACATTTTGGTCTTGATCAGAGGGGATACCAATCAGTCATGAATCTTCAGACTGGGGCGGTAATAAGGAACTCATCACTTCGAGATGCAGCACTTCAACTTCTTTGTTAAATTCTTACCTTTACACTCCAAGCAGCGGTGTAGCAGATCTGTGACTGAAGAGACACAACATTTAATATGTGCAACACCACAAAACACAAGAGCATTTTAGTACAGCCTTATGATCAGAGAATACCAATCAGTCATGAATCTTCAGACTGGGGCGGTAATAAGGAAATCATCACTTCTAGACATTTGGACTAACAACTCTGAAACCTCAATCTCCCGAGTCAAACCAGATTATAAATACTCACCAATGTGGGCCGAGAGCGAACTCGAGACGTCTTGCTGTCAGACCTTCAAAAAAAAAAAAATATATATATATATCACGAGTGCCATTGACAGATATACATATTGCAAGCTGTGAATCTAGGATTTGGCTTCTGGGATTGAGATCAGGACTGGAGAATTCAGTCATCTCGCAGTTAGCTCTCCCTTCACCATCAGAACGCCAGCAGGTCACCTTACACCTGCAGGAATGGACAGGGTCCTCAGTGCCGTACTGGGACAACAGGAGAGGGGGAACTAACTGGAGGATAAGGCAAGTGTGTCAACCTTGACTGTCAAGGGGATTCATCATTTCTACAATCCCAGAAACAGTATGATGCTCATTTACCTGTAGCAGTCCCATGCGCCTCAGCGCCATTGTTGCCAGACCTGCAACAAGTCACTACAGTTAGTCCATCTAGTTTTATTTGTGTTATGTCTTCATTTAATTCCTATGTGATCAGAGGGGATACCAATCAATCATGAATCTTCAGACTGGGGCGGTAATAAGAAACTCATCACTTCATCACCAATACAGAGTTTGAACAGACCTAATACCTACCTCAAGACTGGGAAATCTGATAACCATGGCCTCAGCTCAGCAGAGATGTTGATCTATATATAAAAATAAAAAAAAGTCTGTCAGCTAGTGTGCACAATCACTGTTCAGGAATGTTTTCAGCATCTGCTTTCAGTCAGAGATCTGGTAACAGTCCAACATCAGAACCCATAGATCACTTTACACCTAAAATCTTGTTTCAGGGTTCTGCATCTTTTGGGCCGATAGGTCTGACAGCAACACTGGGGCAGGCAAATTATACCACACCCCACAATGTAACTGCAGTGGCTGAGGTTTGGAAAACATACCTAGGTCATCTTGCTTCAAGAGATGAACCAGCAGCTCGACCCTGATGGGAACACACCAGGAGTTCTGTCAGCAACTAATGCCACTACAGATTGAGATGCACTGTTCAATAAAAAAAACCCTAGATATAGATACACAACTCTGACAATACATCTAGTGTCTGCTGTTCATTTCATTCTTAGAGATGGGCCCAGAGCAAATTTCACCTACATGTCTAAGACTTATGCAGACTGTCAAAATGTATTTTTCCTTGCAGTTTCCATTCAGACTGTTGGTAGCCCCAACAAGTCTTCCCCTTCTTGCCATGGTAACACCAGTGGGTTCACCTTTTCAGGTTCTGGCATTGAACCAAGGCGTAAGACATGTGCAGGTGTCATCATGAAGGAAACAATTACAGGGAAATGTGGTAGTTAACTGAACACTTTGGGCTTAGCTGAACAATGACGCATCAGCCCATGTGTTTGCATTTAGCCTTAAATCGTTAAAGTAAATGCCTACAGGCTCACCCACCTGGTCAAACACTGAAAGAGTGCATCTTCTGAAATGTCCGTAGTCGGCACCTGCAATAGACGATACATTCAGGTCTGAGCACTAAGACTGTAAATGTTTTGTCCATCAGCTGTTGACCTTCACTGATGTCAGATATTCCATTTCTCAACAGCAGTTCAGACGAACGAGATTCCAAATATATCTCATCATTTTCAGCAGCAGGTCTGAGAATAAAGGCTGTGGGTACTTTAGCAGTGACTTGATTTACCTTCAACTTAAACACAGAATCTCATCATGTTGGAAGAATCAGTGAGTCTGTAGATAGAAAAGACAATTTACTACACATTCAAAAGAGGTCCAAGACATCCAAATGAACAGTTCCAGATCATACTGATGTGTTAAGACACATTGTAGCATTTAAAGCAAACTTGGATGCAGTCTCTCAGAAGTTCGTGTCGTTTCACATTGGTTCAAAGTGAGCTAAGTATAATCATCACTGAAACTGCAGTATGACAGTTTACTCTTTGGCTGCACTTTGAGATGAGGGGCTCACCATGAGACTTCAGTAAGGGCCGGTCTTCATGCATCCAGTCAAATGGCTCTGCAGTAGAAATTGTCACTTCAGTACAAACAAACCATACAAACTGTTTTATTAAGAGTCAAATGTTTGATCAGTGCTTTGGTGACAAGCTGCCATGTGACATTAGTCGTCCAGGTGTTTGATGGGTGTTAACCCACTTCATCCTTTCAAACCATCAGAAACACCCTGCCTTAATAGTAATAAGTTGCATTTCTACATTGTCATATTGTTTGTTTCCAAATGAACATTGAGCATACGTGTGCTTCTCCTTTTAAGCATATACTCCAGGTTTGCTTACAGCAAGCCAGCCGTTTTATGAAATGACGTTTGATGCACTGCAGGAAAGGTGTTTCTGAAAACTTATCAAAACACAAACTCATGTAAAGACTCACATGTTGAGATGTTGACACGTGGCATCCTGCCTCAGACTTCTTGCCAAACCCCACCTGGCAGAGAAACGCCAGTATGTTAATCACATGCTCAAGAAATAAATGTTTAATACATTCATTGTGTTTTAGGGTTATCAGATTAAAGGCTGACATCACTTGAATCAGGCATATGCTTGTCATTAATGGTAATCATCATATTTTTACCCCACTGATGAATGAATTTTGAATAAATCCCATCTTGTACTCACCTCAGTGAGGAGTCCAGCTGCTTTTCAGAGCTTCGTGAGCAGACAGTGCAGACCACCCTACAAAAAGTAATCAGTGGTTAACCATAAACTGGGGGTAAATCTAGGCTTTAGTAATACAAGGGCTGATCAGATTATTAATGTAGCATCACAATGATCAGGCATATGCTTGTCTATCTAAAAATTCATCAATTAAGGCCCTTGTAGAATTTGACAGAACTTTAGATTTCATTTTGCTCACCTGCTAAAGGACTTTGTGCTTCATCTTTGAAGTGCCTTTTACATCTGATGGGAAGGTGTACAGGAATTTGTAAGCTCTTAACATAAAGTTAGTGTCATTTTCATGATCAAGTACAGCTTTATAATTCGTTAGATGGGAGACTCTGTGCTACTCAGAATCTGGTAAAGAAGTTTCTTCAAAGGATGATTCGGTAAGAGAGAGTTCGAGATTCATCACTGCAGCACTGAGCAGCTTTAGAGCCAACTAAAGGCAGATCTATAACAGTGGAGTTGCTAAGCAAAACTGAGATTACCAGAGATGGTCTTAATGTTTATAATCACCTTATGTAGAGCATTGCCACGTTCTTCTTAGACCTGAAGACAAGAGGAATCACATTTAGCGGGATTGAAGTGCAACTCCAGATGTGCACACTTGTACAAGATTAACGCTTCATGCTACTCAGAAGTTTGAGAGATGAAGTTTCCTCAAGGTTGTTTCAGTGAGAGAGTTCAAATGAAACATCACTGTAGCATGAGGCTGCATGTCTGCCAAGCTTATCTAATCACGTCAATAAGCGTGTCCGATTTAAAAAAGAGCCACTCAGCAGAGAGAAGTTACCTTCGCAGCAAGCTGTAGTTTCAGGATGTTTCACCACCATCTAGAAAAGCAAGAGTATAAACCGATACATTAGCAGGCTGTGGCTAGCAGGTTAGCCTCCTCTGACCTGCTAACACGTGACCGCTTCATGCAACGTGTTCAGGACGGCCTTAATCGGCTAAATTGATATAAAGCAAGCGTCTCACATCAGAATAATTAAGTGCAGTCACAGTCATTCAGTACAGGTCTGTGTAATTATCATCATTGAGAGACATTGCTTGCAGGTACTAAAGGAGCAGCGGCCATTTCTGAAAAGTACTCTCATACGGGTTAAACTAATATTTCCCAACAAATACTACATGCAGCATTAACAAGACATGTTGTCGTTTATGTTCGCAAGTTTAATCAGACAAAACGAAAATGTTTGACTGGCGGATGGTTAAGGAT